CCATCATTTTAGAGTATACACTTCTAATCCGTTGTAGTCTGTGACCAAAATTTGTCCATCTGGCGTTGTGGTAACACCCCAAGGAAATTGTATTTTAAGATCAGTACTTGTCTTCCGAATGAATTTTCCTTCCAGTGAAAACATTTGAATGCGATTATTCAACATGTCACATACTAACACGTTGCCATCCTTGTCAGTACATAAGCCATACGGCTGAGCCAATTGTCCATCACCGTTTCCTTTTTCTCCAAACTTGTACAAAAATTGTCCTTCCTCATCAAACACTTTCACACAGTCATTTTTTCTGTCAGTCACAATGAACTTGTCCTCGTAACAAACGCAGCCAAGTGGTTGATCCAGCCTTTCTGGGCCGCCGTCTCCAAACTTCAACACAGGTTGACCATCCATTGTAAACACCTGAATTCTACTGTTACCATCATCCACTACCACGATAAAACGTCCATCGCTAGTAATGCAAACACCAGTGGGAAACTTTAATTTTCCGTCTCCACTTCCCTCTTTTCCAAAGCTTTCCACACATTTCCCTGTCTGTATATTAAACCGCTGTATTCGGTGATTACATTCATCTGCCACCAGGATCTCGTCATCATTTACGAATGTGACGTCAGTGGGATTGTCAAATTGTCCGACCTTGTCTCCATAAACACCAAGTGTTAGTACAAATTTTCCTGTGTCGTCAAATACCATGATACAATGTCCATCAACAACAGCCACAGCAGTAACTCCTTTACTGTTCACTGCAATGCCAGCTGGACCCTGGAGCATTTCTCCATGAGAGTCCAACTTTCCTATAACGTCAAACTCTCGTGATTTGAGGAAAATAGAAAACGGACTCTTGGCAAGTTTCTGTTCATTTATCTTTAATTCCATTTCATAAGTACCTGGTACTTTCGCCACAAACTTTGTCTGAAACCCTCCGTCTTCTCTTTCACTTGTCACCAAACTTGTCACCTGATCCGCAGGCTCAATGTGTACTTCGATACGATCTGTGTGTCGAGTGTTTCTGATTTCTCCTTCGCTTGTTTTAGGACGAATTAGAAGCTCTGTTTCTACACCAAATCGGAAATTCTTAACCAGTCCTTCCACGGTCGATCCCTGTACATCTGTTTTGCTGAACTTCGTAAATCCCAAACTCAAACTCTCTGGTTCACATGTCGACACAAACTCTACAAACGAGTTAACCGGAAGTACTGGCATTGTGGTCTTCATGAGGTCTTCGATTCGCTCTTCCACATTCTTCTTGTTTTGCATTACGACTGAACTTGAGCTTCTTTCAACCAGGTTGTTACTGAACTCCAATGCTTGGTCAAGCTGCTTTTCAATAGAGACAACCGATGCTTTCCCAGAATTCAATTTCTCAATCCTCGACACACGAGCCTTCTCAAGGGCAGTAACGGCTTCATGCTCCAGTTCTTTGAGCTTTGTCATCATCTGTTCGACTGCTTGGGTAACTTTGCGTTTAGCGGTGGTAATGTTCGCTTCCAACTCATGCTCCGTCTTCTCGAACTCACGAATAACATCTCGGCAGACTCCTTTCTTCTGCTCAACAAGCTCGGCTCGGAGAATAATGTTTGCTTTTTCATCATCCGCTGCCTTTCCAAGCGGAACAACATTGTGGCTTTTATGCCTGTGTTAACACAAACTTGACAAGCACAGCTTTGACAGCCCACGCAATAAAACTTAGTGATCTCTCTCTCGTGATACTTCACCGAGCAAAATGACTGCCGTTTCAACAACGCTTCGTAGTCTGCGTCTTTAAACTGTCGCACTGGGGTGACTTTGTGTCCCTCAAACAAAGTATCTCGAAACACTTCGTGTGCTTTCGCACAGTCGAGGCACATAAACTTCTCACATTCCAAGCAGTAGTTGACCTCAGCGCTCTTTTTCTGGCATGTACTACAGCTGATCTCATTTCCTTCGCCACTGCGTCGCACGGCAAGAAGACTCAACAAACTGTTGTGTAGAAAACTGCTTGGCAGATTATCAAAACGCTTTCCTTCGGGGATACGAATTTGTGCCTGACACTCGGGGCATCGGTAAAACCCTCCTTTTTGGCTCGTTAGTGCATGTCTCTCCAGGCATTCACAGCAGAACGTATGAAGACAAGCAATGGTCTTGGGTTTGGTGTAAGTATCCAAACAAATCGAACATGTTACATGTTCTTTGAGGTATTTAAGAAGCGACTCCATCACGAATTGGTTACTAACCCGTATGTTGTGTTTGTGATTCCGAGAAACTGAACTGGGGGTAGCATTCTATTTTAAGCAGCGAGTCAGATCTGTTTAGGATCGCGTAATCCTCGCGTGGAAGTTGACAGTTTTGCATTGAAAATTTATCCACTTATTGTTTACTTTCTCTATCTCTAGGCGATAGCGTGACCGAATGCGTCGTTCTCGAGTCTGTCACCAAATAGAACTTGCCACGAATTTTTGGAAAAAAATTATCCACCTCGTTTTCTTTGTTTTATTGGGATTGGAATTCCGAGAACTTGTCTGATAGCCAAATAATAATCAGTATCCTATTAAAAGTAGCCAATCACATCTCTTCAGAAGAAATTTCGTGTTTCCTCAAGCGGTAAGTGATAGCTTCAGCTTTGGATTTCAAAATTTCATAATTTTTCTAAGGAAGCGTGAGAGAGTAACAATAAACAAATGTCTGGTTTTCACGTGCTGTCACGATAGGAAAATCCGTGAGATTAACGTAAGGGCAAAATCTACTTTGCTATAAGATCGGAAACTAGTTCTTTTAAGGTTATAACCTGTCTGAGTTCGTTTTGCGTACCGCAATTGGTGCATGGTGTGGACTAGGATCAGTGTCAGAGAAACTGCTCACCCACCCCTCCCCTAACTCAAAAAACAGTCAACCGGTAACAGGTAAGGGTTGATGTGGTGTCAGATGCTCCAATTGTTGCAGTAAAAGTGTTAAATAAATGTGGGCGAAAGTAGATTAAAAAAACGCTCGGCTGCAATTCCTCTGTGCCACACTATTTCCAGTTTATTCTTTTGACCATGCAACTTTCAAACATCAGCCGGCCGGTTCAACAAATGTGAACGGAGCGGAGGGATGATGGGCGAAAAAAGTCACACAATTGAAACGAGATGGATGAGTCACGCTCGTGACAGCCGTGCAGAGAGCGAGGCTGGGCGCAATCTCCCCTTCTGTTCATGGCTGTTTAAATAGGGTTCGTGTTCTTTAAAAACCCTGCGGCTCTTTCCTTTGCTCGCGCACTGAACAATGCTTGAAGATAAAATACAGGGTCTGCGAATGGACTAGAATTTGAAAGCCCATAATTTCTTTAGACACTTCAATTTTTCCTCGCAGCTAACGCAGTTTTTGCGTGACACAAACAACTCATGCGCAGTTTATTCCCCTAACCATCTGCTTCCTTAACAGATTTAGGAACGCTTATTAAAAGGAACAAGCTTTATTATCCAACTACACCTAGACGAGTACAAATAACGCCATAGACGAGTACAAATATCACGCGGTATTTGTACTCGTCTATTGTAGTACCGGTTAAACAGGTTTTCTCGCATCGCGCAAGCGAAGAATTGGATTGTAGTTACGAAAAAAAAAAAAAAA